GAGGCGGGGCGGGGGGCCCCCCCCCCCCCCCCCCCGTCCAGTGCACAAATTTTTGTGCACCGGGCCTCTAGTATTAGATATAAACTGCAATTGAAAAATAAAATTTTAAAAATGAGGCCCAACAAGCACATCAAAGTAGGGACTAGTATTATCCCCATTGTACAATACAGAAACGGAAGCTTAGAGATGTTACAAGATGTATCTAGCTCCTAACTGACTGAGGTGGAATTCAAAATCCTGGCAGTTTATTCTCAAGGCTGATGCTCTTACCCACTGTGCAATTCTACCTCTTCGCTGAAGTTCCTGGGCAGAAAGCAACCCCTTAAAATCCAATGTCTAGAAGTACTGGCCAGTGCGCGTGAAGTCGCTTCCATCAGCTTTGCCTCTGGGCCATTTTGTCCTCTAACTGCTAGGATGTCACATCCCTAAAAAGGAATGCTTGCCCTTCATTTTCCTCTTCTCCCTTCCTGCTGGCTGGGAGATGCCAGTGAGTGGATCCCAAACGGAAGTCCTGTGTTGAGGCCACTTTCTGTAAAGACAGAGGTGGGGGAGATATCACTGCCTCAGGCTGCTAACCAAAATCCGTTCATGCCTTTCCCTTTTCTGTAATAGAACTCCTGACATTATAGCTGGGAAGTTCCTGGGCAGAAAGCAACCCCTTAAAATCCAATGTCTAGAAGTACTGGCCAGTGCGCGTGAAGTCGCTTCCATCAGCTTTGCCTCTGGGCCATTTTGTCCTCTAACTGCTAGGAACTGGTGGTTGTGACAAGTCTTGGGCAATCCTGCAATATCTCTGTCTCATTGTGTCTTGTTTAGCTTTGCATGCCCCACATACAGCACCACGCCTGGCCCATGATACATAATCAATATGCATTTGCTGAATTTAAAACCATTGGATGCCATGATTGTGATGAATGCTATGCGACTAAAGCTGGGAACACCCCTGAGTTGAAGCTTTTTATGCTGCCCCGGCCACGTTGAGAACGACTAAATCATGTGGCTCAGCCACACAAAAGGCAGGGCAGGAACCTGTTGTGCGCTTGTTGGACGAGCTTTCGAGGGTGCCATGCGCTTTCTGCTTACACGGGTTGGAATCGGTACTATATTTGGAGAATGACCTCTCTACTGTGGAAAATATGCACAGAGAAGTATTTAGAATAGTCAGAGTCACTACGATGGGTGGCTCTCTCTGTAGATAGATAAACAAATCCTTGAATCCAGTTCTACTTTTTCTCCCTCTGGTTATAATTCATTAAAACACTATCTTTTCAGTCTTTGTTCACAAAGTAAGATGTCAATCATAGTCTGCACAGTGATGCTTTCTGTAAAGACAGAGGTGGGGGAGATATCACTGCCTCAGGCTGCTAACCAAAATCCGTTCACGCCTTTCCCTTTTCTGTAATAGAACTCCTGACATTATAGCTGGGAACACAACTGCCTAACTACAGACCCTTGTGGCTAGGTGTGGCCATGGGTAAATCCTGACCAGTGGGAGACAAGTGGGAATGATGTGCTCAACTTCCTTGTCACATCCCTAAAAAGGAATGCTTGCCCTTCATTTTTCTCTTCTCCCTTCCTGCTGGCTGGGAGATGCCAGCGAGTGGATCCCAAATGGAAGTCCTGTGTTGAGGAAGAGAAACCTACCAGCCCTGGACTGTCCGTGGACATCTGGACTGTACCATGGGAGAGAAATGTACTTCCATTTTCTTTAAGCACATTTATGTCAGGGTCTCTTTGATACAGCACTTAGAAATCCCTCAACCAGTGCAGTAACACAGGAAATGATACCCATAAGAAGGTACAGTGGGGCCTTGACTTATGAGTTTAATTCGTTCCGTGACGGAGCTCGTAACTCAAATTACTCGTATGTCAAATCAAAAAGTGAACAAGTGAGACACGTGATGCTGGGCTGATGTTGTGGCATTCACTGTGACGTTCACTGCGCCAACTAGCGGTGGGGTATCTGAAGCTGGCTGGTAACCCAAATACGGGCCGAATCCAGCCCGCGGGCCGTAGTTTGCCCACGGCTGGTATATGCAGTCTATGCACAACCTACCAAGCAAGCTCTCTCATGCACCCCTACTGGTTGGAATCGGTACTATATTTGGAGAATGACCTCTCTGCTGTGGAAAATATGCACAGAGACATATTGAGAATAGTCAGAGTCACTACAATGGGTGGCTCTGACTGTAGATAAATAGATAAACAAATCCTTGAATCCAGTTCTTTTTCTCCCTCTGGTTATAATTCATTAAAACACTATCTTTTCAGTCTTTGTTCACAAAGATGGAATCAAAGCATCTCTTAGGGAGAAGACACCTTAAAGCTCACTAGCACAACCACATCCTCCTTGTATGCCTCTATTTACAACATATCACTCCCAAAAATATTCACAGTAAGTCCTCTTATAATTCATTAAAACACTATCTTTTCAGTCTTTGTTCACAAAGATGGAATCAAAGCATCTCTTAGGGAGAAGATACCTTACAGTTCACTAGCACAACCACATCCTCCTTGTACGCCTCTATTTACAACATATCACTTCCAAAAATATTCACAGTAAGTCTCGATTTCTTCCACTACTCAGTATTCAGACCTCCTCACTGTCTCATAATGAGTTTATTGACTTGAATCAGGATCCAATAAGTTGATAATGTCTCTTAAATCTCTTTTCATCTCTGCCTCGCATTTTTCTCCCTTACATTTTATTTGTTGGACCACGTCTTCTATAGGCTCCCAGTCTGAACTTTGCAGAACGTATCCCCCTGGTGTTATTTAATATGTTTGCCCATTCTTTGTATTTACCAGGAACTAGTAGCTAGATCTAGAGGTTCATCAGATTCAGGTTTGATGTTTTGGCAGAACAACTTCATACATGGTATTATATGCTTCCATCAAGCTAGTTTTTTTATTAAAACGTTGAGGGTGTTTTTTTAAGAGTTCCCCATTTTAAAATACGTTCATACCTTCTTGCCCAGAATATATTCATTAAGTTCTACAACAAAAGTCTTTAAATGTTCTTCTTGGTTTAAGGGTCAGCAAACTTTTTCTTAAAGAACCAGATAAATATTTTAGGCTTATGGGCCATATAATCTCTGTTGTAACCTACCTGTCGCAACTGCTCACAGAAGTAGCCATAAATAAACGGTATGGCTGAGTTCCAATAAAATTTTAGTTACAAAATAGGTGGCTGATGACAAGGCATAGTATGCTGACCCCTATTCTAAATGATCAAAGGTTTGACTTAACACAACACGTATCACTGGCAAATATGAAATATGCCCATTGAGGTTTATTTGGAAGAGTTTCCACTCAGACACAAACTAACAAGCTACCCAGCCACCATATTTACCTGAATATCGGTTCTGACTAAGTCAATACTTGGGTGGAAGACAAAGGGCTCAGGAAGAAAATTCAATTCAATAGTTAACTTCATAAATGTTCATAGAACAAAGGACTATAACAGGCATCACAAGAGGGTCCTAAGATGAGTAAAAGACAACTCCCCTGCCCTCAAGGCCCAGCAGGCTAATAAGAGGAGAAAATTAGGGAGGAGATAAGTCAAATATACAAATGCTGGGGTATAAGAAAGGCTGCAATAAGTATCACAATGATGTTAGTGTTTAAACAGCAGCAGGAAAATTCTGTGGATGAGAAATCATCCTATAAGAATAAATGCAAGTTGTCATCCTGTGTGAACATCAGGACCTTTAGTACAAGTTGGTCTCCAAATACAAGGTCTATTCTCTACTCCTCCTCTTTGCTCACCCTCCTAAATTCAGACAAGTTCTCCAAAATAACTGTAAGACAAAAGGTGTTGGAGGGAGAAAGATAAGGGATGTAATAACTCACCTTCTTGCTTTTCTAAGCTGTCTTTGCCTGCACAGCAGTGTAGATGGTCATCAGCTGGAGAAAAAACTTCAGAGAAATTGAACTCGTCCTCTCCTGTCCACCAGCCTTGCCTCTGAGCATAACTCCTGAGCTCGGGATGCTCTGCATCGATCTTGGTGGTGAGTGAGAGCTGATTGCAGATGCACCTGACGCCCTCTGCAGAGAGTGCAAGGCCCAGTGAGTTGGAAATACACTTACAAAGACTTAATCAAGAAATGTAAATTCACAGGGAATCCCTCCCCTGCAACCTGACTTTAACTACAGGGATGGAATAAATTCCATTTTTGAAGAGAGAAACAGACCGTCCTTGGTCCTCTTCTGAGAAGATCAGCTACATTAGTTGGTCAGAAGGTTTGACCAATCCTGACCGGCATTACCACATTGTAAATGAGCAACAATCACAAGATCTTAAATTTATAATCAAAAGGAAACATGTGAGGCCCCTCCTTCTGGCTGAATAAACCCATGCATTTACTACTTACGAGAAAAGTGAAAAGTTCTTTGAAAGAAGCATTGAGCGACTAACAAGACTTGTGAATGTCGCAACCATGGAGAATCTTCCTCCCCAGTTTAGTCTTGCTCTACTTGAAGAACACCTTCCACCACCACCTCCCACCCATATATGTGTGTAGTTTTTTAAAAAATACAAATATGATCCTTCTTCATTCAATTATTTTTTCAGGTCCCGACATTTAGAAAAACAGAGTGGCCCTGATAATGAATAGTGTTAAACTAACAGAATGTACCTGGACATAGCATGTTCCTGTGTCACTTGTGCATGTGAGAAAAATCTATGGGAATTTTTTCTCATAAAAATGTAAGTATAGCTAGATACATCTGGAGTCAGAGCTTCCTGCTTTCTGAGGACACCCCTGTGAAGAATGTGGGTTAGGGCACCTGTTCTCCTATGTGCTGGAAGGCTGGCTATGGCTTCTTCAAAGCCTGAGCTACAAATACAGTGAGGATAACCTGACCTTCAGCTTCAACACAATGTCCAGATCACAAGGAAGTATTCACTTATAGCTCAAAATAGCCATTCATGGTTGCTGCTTCCAGGGAACATGTTTATCTTCTAAATACTTGGAGAATGACGTAGAAAAAGACAGCCTGGACTGCAAGCCATGGTTGCTGCTTCCAGGGAACATGTTTATCTTCTAAATACTTGGAGAATGAAGTAGAGAAAGACAGCCTGGACTGCAAGCTGCACGGAAGCCATTACTGCCTGAAAACCAGCTCCTGGAGTCAGGGTCAGGGCTGGGCTGAGTTCCTTCAGCATCTTCTGTTTCATCAATGTGAGCATGCCTGGCCTTCATCTTTTTAGAGGTCACCAGAAGTGTAAAATTATTTTTTAAATGAAAATAAATAATAGCTTTGGCCTACATAAGTGATTTTGACATTATTCACACTAAGATATTTTTAAGTCTTGTGAATAACTCCACATGTTATTTTCCTAGAAGGCTGATTATAATAGACATTTGCTTTCAGGAATTTTAGCATTTGAGGGCCAGAGTTCATTAACTCCTACTGCAGTCACATGACTGCTGAGATCAGAGGACATGAAATCAATGAGTGCAAGGAATGGCTGGGGTTTTTCCCCTTTAAATATCTAGTGAAAGGGGACATGCATTTTGATGAGATGGGTTTTTAAGTTGTACTTTGAAGTGAGACTAAGCTTTTGAATGCAATTATAGATTTAAAAAAAGTTTTACATTCTACTTAAAACAATACGATTGTCCTTCAGCATGGACCAATAGCCTTCTTGGTGGAACTACAAAATGGTAAGACTTCATTTTAGAAGAGATTTGTGTAAGGGAGTCTTTCTTAAGTTCCTGCATCGAAGGAGGCTTGGAGACCTGGCGGGCCACACCAGCTACATTAGTTTTGTAACTACTGTGGAAGTAGGGCAGGCAGGCACACCTGGGTGTATGTGGGGTGTACGTGGGTGGAGAAATGCTCTGAGATTGCCTCAAGGTGCAATCCCTTGTGAGAATGAGAAGAAATCGCCTCCTCCTCCAGGCAGACACAGCCTTTGCACAGCTTCGTCAAGAAACCACAGCTAGATCTCACTGCCTCAACGATGCAGTAGATCTTCTGCTTCTAACACAGCTTAGGTTTGGTTCCAGTCACCCTTCAGGAAGAGATGGCAAACAGGTGTCACCCCTGACATCATTTCTGAGGAGCTGGAAGAGACTTCCTGGTAAATTCAGTTGAGAAAAATACACAGACCAAGTATACACACACACAATATTTCCTTCCTCAGAACTATCTTAGAACAAGATGCTGCAGGAAGCACGGAGCAGTAATTTATTGGGCAGTAAATCCTTCTGGGTGGATTTCCTAGCCTCTGCTGTTCTAGAAACATTGCTCCCAGCGACATGGCTTGTTGGCCCAGAGGAAGTCAACGGTTCGCAGACAAATCCAAATTCCTCTGTTAGGGGAACATTCCAAGCACAAAGAGCTATAGGACTGGGGTGATCAGGGCAACTCCCTATTGTAGTAATTCATTGACCTATTGTGAATGGAATGGAAAAAATCACTATTCCCTTGGCCAATTCATCAAGAAGCAATTTGGATCATGAAGCCACTAGTGGTCTGAATTGGGTCCTGCCCAGAAAGCAAACAGAAAATAGGAAATGTTAGGAGGATGCTTCCCAAGTGGTGACCTCCCTTCCCTCCGGGTTCAGAAGACTCCAGCTTCCTCTCTAGAAGATTCACGGCAGCACAGAGAGGGTCTCCAGCAGCAGCACGAGTCCTGTGAGCCCAGGCAACATCCATCCTAGTCTTCTCTGCCCATAAAGCTCTTCGCTATGCACGCCCTCTCACCTGTGACTTTCTCAGCAGCCCAGTACTTCCCTACGGTCTCGAGCACCCAGGCCTCCTCACGATCCACAATCAGATAAGCACTCTGGAAGCTGTGGCAGGAGCCTGCATCTTCATAATAATTCCCACCTTGCCCGTGTTCTTCCAACAAGGCGACGATGACATCTAGGGCTTCCTTGGCTGTTGACCCTCTTTCTAAACCAAGCCTGGAGTAAGGAAACCAGAGGTATAGCTCAGACATTTCGTACCGTGCGATTATTACCATAGCAACCAAAGATTGGGACGAGGCTGAGTTATGAAGTGCGCCAACATGTGTAAATATGTTAAATACGCAGGCCAATGTGCAGGCAAATGAACAGTGCTCTCACACGTTTGGTTCAAAGTCATGGGGGTGTTTTCTGTCTTTGGGCATCCTCCACCCACACAGGACCCCAGTGGCTCAGCCACCTCCCCTTCTCTTTTCTAGCTCCATCTCCCAGGGAGCTGGCAGGCTCTGCTCTAGCTCTTAGCAGACCCCTTCTCTAGGCTTATTCTCCCTCTTGCCTCTACTCTCCTGCCTCTGGGCAAAAGGAAATCTCTGCCCCATCCAGCCTTGTTCTCTGTTATGCTACATTAGGTAGTTTGGTTAGTAATAAAAGTGTTCCACAGCCAGCCATTGTCTTCGGTGCATATAACTGTCTCAAGAGACCTCAGTAGGAAAGGGCTGCTGGTTAGGACGCAATCAATCCTTTTCTACATATTTCACCTCCTGGCTATCAGCATATCTCTGCTGGGGTGGCTTACAGCTTTGGTTGTCCAAAAGCACATATTTCTCTTGAAGCGAAACAGCAATCTCCTCCCAGCCCTTCCAATTCATAGACCCCTAAGAGAGGGCACAGATCTTGCCCTCCATGTGACCTTGGGAAAGCTACATAATCTATTTAAACTTCAGTTTTATGTCACCTATAAAATAAGAATCTATATCATTGGGTTGCTAAGAGGATGGGTTTTATGAGATAATGACCATGAAAATATATAGCACAAGGGCCCAAGACCAAGTAAGTGACCGGTAAGTTGTGAGAGGTAGCACACCATGGCCAGAAAACAGTTGACTGAGAAATAAAGGGACCCATGTTCAGTTCTGGTTCTGCTACCCACGGCAGCATGACCTTAAGTAACCGAGCCTTTCTGAACCTGGTTTTCTCATCTGTAAAGTGAAAACAGTACGACTTCCCTCTCTGGCTGATTTGAAAGAGGAAGGCACATGCTAAGTCCTCAGTAACTGTCCATTTATTCATCTCTTCATTCAAATCACAACTCTGGTGGCCGGAACAGGGTCTTAGAAGGAGGTGATGGAGCGGGCCACAAGGGGAGAACAGGCCAGTTCTTGGTGAACGCTCAGTGTGAGAAGCAATCATTATTAAAATTCACCCAGCTGGATTCTTCCTGAAGGGACATGTATTTCACTGGGCTGCCAGGGAGAAGAAAAGGTGACAGGCTACGGATTTATTCTTGTAAGAGGCTTATTTTCATAGTCAGAAAATTATATATCAATTCACTTGGCATTTCTCCGTTTAAGCTTATTTAGGAAGATTTGGTGCCAAGGCAATGATTTGTGAAGCTGCATCCTAAGACCCTAAGAGAGCGATAAAAGACTGAACCCATTAGAAGATTGCAGTAAGTCAGCTTTCCATTAAAGTGGTGACCTTTGCCAGTGCTGTAAATCCCATGCCACAAATACTACAATAACTCAAAATGCAAAGTGATCAATGACGCATACAAGGGGCAGACTTTTCATCATTAACTCTCCATGTGCAGGATTTCTATGAAGGATGGTGGTAAAAATATTGGGACAGCTCTCAAACATAACCTCAAAACTTGTTACTCCATAATTTCATTCTGTTAAGAGAAAACTCATGGTAATCATGAGGATTTTTCCTCTTCTCTAGCTCAGGGTACCTGCTCCTCTGAGTTTGTAAGAAACAGGAAGAGTGAAGACAGGCGAGGCAGGCACAAAGGCCACATGCTACCAAAAGGGTGTCACTAGCAGGCCCATCCATCGTTCGGCAGAAGCGGTGGGCCACAGAGGTCTCTGTGTAAATGTGCAATTTCTCCCTACAAAACCTACAGAATGTGAAAATCAGCACTCCTTTTTACAGGATGTTAGCTTTGGAGGGTTTGTTAGAAGTCATCCAATCTAAGGCCTCACATTGGACAAATGAGGAAACCGGAGCCCAGAAAGGGGATGTAACTTGGTGTATCTACACCGAAAACCCTAGCCCAGTGGTCGGCAAACTCATTAGTCAACAGAGCCAAATATCAACAGTACAACGATTGAAATTTCTTTTGAGAGCCAAATTTTTTAAACTTAAACGATATAGGTAGGTACATTGTTATTAACTTAATTAGGGTACTCCTAAGGCTTAGGAAGAGCCACACTCAAGGGGCCAAAGAGCCGCATGGGG